AGTAATCTGGTGAAATTGTTTTTATATCACAATATATATCGCAGAAAAATAAAATCACAATGTCATTTTTTACCAATATCGTGCAGCCCTAATCATCGCTATGTGTTTTCTATACAGGGATATCGACATCGGTAAATATCGGTATCGGCCATAACAGCAACGTTAATATCGGTTCTCGGTATCGGCCACAAATTTTCACATCGGTGCATCACTAGTTTGATGGTTGTCTGAAGTCCACTATTACTAGAACTTAAAGTCAGCATGAAATGTAAACTCAGCCTATTTTCTAAATGCATGTTATAAATCGTGGTGTGATCGATTCGTCCATGTGCATGTTTAATTAATTTGGTAATGATTAATCAAACCGAAGCGTCAGTCTCTCTGCAGGATTCTCTCATCATTTAGTGCACTTAAGCTCCGCCCCTTTAAGCCCTTGCTCATCTGCATAGACTTTAGAGAGCCATGCCCACATATACTGTTATATTTTTGTGTTAATATTTCGATTTTGATATATATATGTCAAATATACACCTCCCCCTGCTAAGCCCCGCCCTCGGCTCATCCCCTCCATCTCCTCTAGGGTCCGCCCATTTTTTCAGCATTTTTCAAATATTGCCAGTGGGAGGAGTCAGGCTCTGACCAGGGGTTTAGTTACCCTTTAATTAATTTGTATTTCAGTTTGACTTATTTTAGTACTTCAAACTAATTAAAATTGGAAATGTCGCTTTCACAACTAGAAGAAATACGTCTGTTTGTTATTCTAAGTTTGTTTATTTTATTTCGAGTAACAGATGGTGTTTTTTTTATAGTTTTACTTAACGATAATAACCCCGAACCCTGGTTATTCTCTGAACACAACTGTAGATTCTTTTAAAACTGTAGTCTTTCTGCGGGGAGGTCAGGGGTCAGAGGTCAGGGTTGACACCCAGTGCTGGTTAAACTTCAGCCGCTTGCACTTAATCAGTGAGTGATTTCAGGGATTCTGAACTTGAGTTTGACGTGCGTTCTCTTAGAGTGGTGTCAGGCAGTTATAGCAACAGAGTCGTTGCCGGGGTGTTGCCGTGAGTGGTTGCTATGGTGTTTTGGTTGGTTGCTAGGTGGTTTCTGGCGGTCTCATCTGACTGATAGACGGACTGATTGTGTTGTGCTGGGGGTTTTCCCCTCAGAAGAACGAGCCTTTGTCTCTGTGCAACATACAGACTGTCTGGCAGCCTACACACACACACACACACACACACACACACACACACACACACACACACACACACACAGGTTTGTTTTGCTATGCTTGTGAGGACATTCCATAGGCGTAATCGTTTTTATACTGTACAAACTAGGGTTAGTGTAGGGTTAATGGAATATACACTCACACACACACACACACACACACACAGATGTGTGCGAGAAGGTTAGCTGGTCGATTTGCTGTAGACGAGAGGAATCATGATCTTCAGCAGAGGTGCATTGTGGGAGCGAGTGAACAAGGCCACCTCTCATACGGTAAACAAACACAGCCGGTCGCCGTGGTTACCATCTTTCCGTCGCCGTGGCGTCCAGCGTGTGGTGAAGACGGTCACATTCCTTCAGGATCGCGGGCGTAATTGTAGCGTGTTCTCTGAGCGGAGAGATCTGCTTCTGTACACACACACACACACACACACACACACACCTCACTACCTGTGCATTCAACAGCCACAAAAACTCATATTTGTCATTTAACTTCAATTGAATGTAATCATTGTAAATAACAGACACAATTTGGATAAAATAGTGCATTTGTAATTCATTGTATTTTTCATGTTTTGATTATTTCTGTTAATTTTTATTATTATTTAACTGTTATTTTTTATAAAATATCTAAAAATATAATTTGTGTATATTTTGTATATATATACAAAATATACACAAATTATGTTTTAGATATTTTATAAAAAATAACAGTAAAAATAAACACTGCCTATGTAAAAATATTAAAAACCTAATTTATATAAACTTTTTAAATTAGTTATATATTATAATATATATACTGCCTATGTAAAAATATTAAAAACCTAATTTATATAAATTTTTTAAATTAGTTATATATTATAATATATATACTGCCTATGTAAAAATATTAAAAACCTAATTTATATAAACTTTTTGAATTAGTTATATATTATAATATAATATATATATATATATATATATATATATATATATATATATTTATATATATTATAATATAGAACTAATTTAAAAAGTTTATATAAATTAGGTTTTTAATATTTTTACATAGGCAGTGTTTCATTACTGAAGAAATAGCGTTTTGAATGAATCTGTGTGTTGGACTGTGTGTGTGTGTGTGTGTGTGAGATAGACTGTGTGTTTGATGGGTAGGGTTAGTGTGTGTGTGTGTGTGTGAGTAATGCTGAACGTTATATGTTCTGCAACAGGAAGTGAGGAGAGAGACTCGCAGACGAACTGAACTCACACAATCATCTCTGATAGACGACGGACATGTGTGAACGCTTGATTCATGAGTGTGTCCTGATGTGTTTATCTAGCACATCTCATGCTTCTATAGTGTTGCTCATGTGTGTGTGAAGGAAAAACTGATTATGATTTTGATTCCTGTCTCGTTTTATTTAGAAGCGTCAATTTCATTTGTCACTTCCTGTAGCGGGACGTCAGCAACGGAAACAAGCGTTAGAGAGAGAGAGAGAGAGAGAGAGAGAGTGAGAGAGAGTGGTCGGTCACTCACTGAGAAAAGCGGATTATTTTTGTCGGGTGTTTGATGGCGAGTTTCACTTCTTCATGTTCTGCAGTTTTGTTCCACATTTCTGTCAGCATGTCTAAATATTTACAGCAGCACAAACCGGCCTGCTGACAGTGTGTGTGAGTGTGTTTGTCCAGGCACAGAGATCTCTCTCTTCTGCAGCCTTTTGCAATGGTTTTGACGTCACACACACACACACACACACACACACACTAGTGCTGACTTCCTCCTGAGAGAGAGTTCATCTCTTGGTCTTTGTATTTAGAATGTTTCAAATTACATTTTTGACCCTCAATAGTCAAAAATAAAAATAATATATATATATATATATACACACACACACACATACATACAGTGCATCCGGAAAGTATTCACATCGCTTCACTTTTTCCACATTTTGTTATGTCACAGCCTTATTTCAAAATCAATTAAATTCATTATTTTCCTCAAGATTCTACAAACAACACCCCATAATGGCAACTGTGAGTGTGAGTGAGTGTGTGAGAATGTGTGTGTGAGTATTTTAGGGTGTGTGTGAGTGTGTCAGTTCAAGTCATCCTCATTTATACAGCACTTTTAACAATGTAGATTGTTTTTTTTTTTATTGATTCTCTTCCGCCGCAACGATCTAGTTATTAAAGGGTACATATCATGCTTTTAAATCATTCATTTTTACATATAAATCATAGCGTTGTGGTCTATATAAAGCATAACTGCAATGCTTGGGTCTGAATTCCTCATTATTAAAGCTCCACAAGCCCCTTTTCTGATGTGCGTCTGTGAGCGACCCGTTTCAAAGCGGCCCCTTTAAATAAAAAGGAGATGCGTCACACCCCGCCCGCTCTCCAGGTCCATGAGTTCAACTCCACACGTTCGGCCATTATTGTAGTTTGATTAGAGATATACGATTATATACGATACCTTCAAAGAACAATTTTATTCACACGTTAATAACAGAAGACTTGTCTATCAAGCCTTACATATTCCAGCCAGAGCGAGCGAATCGATAAAGACGACGACCAACCTGCAGAACAACCTCTTCATCATATGGATGTATTGATATGTGAGTTAACTGTTGTGTGTTATTAGTGAAAGTCAACTATTTCTCTTGTTAAAACAAGCACACTGACAAGATAAATGACTACGGTCTAATCTTACCACAAACATCTGTATTGATAATATGATGCGTTTAGAAAAGCAGCTAAATGAGCATTGATGAAACTCAAGAACAATAATACTGCAGACGTGTAACGTTACTTTAAAACTAAAACACAGAAAGACAAAGGTACTGCTAAACCATGACCACCATGTGTTTGAAGAAAGTAAAGTACTTTATTTTTATTAACGATATTTACAGCTTATCGAAACGCTCTGTTCGTCGTCTCCAAAGATAGAAGGAATTGACCCCTCATTCAATCGGCAAACCCTTCTGTATAACGTTACTGGCGGAGGTTGTTGAAGTGCTTCAGGTCACTAACGTACATCCAACAACCGAACATTTAGACTTGCCCTCTCGTAACTTCTGCATCATTGAGCTCGGACTACAAAATCGTAGCGAGAAATAATAATGGCGGATTGCTGGAAGTGTTGGGCCGGTAGCCGATGTCCTTATTCGTCAGTTCCGCTGCAAATACGGTGACGCACTTGCTCAAAAAACGTCATAGACAACAGAAAAATCTGAACAGGTTGAAAAATATGACCAAAACAGAATATAAAGATATAAACGAAGCGCCTGAAGAGAATAATTTCATCTTTTCTGTACTTATAAACACTCCAAATATACAACAAAATGCATTTAAGGGCTAAAAAAGCGGATTTTGCATGATATGTCCCCTTTAACTTAAGGGCCGCTAACACGACACCGTTCTCACAGAAAACTCGTAGTTCGCTCTACGCAAACTTTAAACACACGAGCCTGAGAGAGCGCTATTGGCGCCCACATGCGTATTACGAGTTCAGGGGTTTTCTGAAAAAACCCAAATCAAACTACTTGTCTGGCCTTAAAATGTATGGGATGTCAGCAACGGAAGAGTATGATTACGACTGGCGGAGTCGAACATCTTAGAGAATTTGCGATTAGCATTAGCATGACTCTGGTTGCTGGTGTCTCTATTTTCAAGTTCGGTGTGATCGAATCACCAATTACCAGGGCACACTCAACAGGATTCACTGAGTGGGGAGAATCTATGTGTGTGTTATTATTGAGAAATGTGATGTCTAACGTATGGTCTCTCTCTCTCAGTTCTGCTGGCTGAGCCTGTAGAGAACGGCAGCATTGAGGGCAAAACCCTGAAGATCACAGATTTCGGTCTGGCGAGAGAGTGGCACAAGACCACTAAGATGAGCACGGCGGGCACGTACGCCTGGATGGCCCCTGAGGTCATCAAGTCCTCCACTTTCTCCAAGGGCAGCGACGTCTGGAGGTGAGGGACACACACACACACACACAAACTCAAACCAGGTCAACTGCTCTTCAAGACTTACCGGTTCACCCAGTGTTTCCCAACCTTTATCAGTCACGGCACCCTACAGGAAACTCGTTACTACTCTGATTAAATACCTTGGAATACAATATCCTGATGTCATTAAATATATTTAATATAATAAAGTCAATTTGTTACTTTTTAAGAGAGTAACACAATATAGTACGGCATCAGCACTGATTGTCCCACTGTTGGCTGGAGAGGCGAATGGAGGCTGAGGTGACCGGTGCGTCCCGGCGGCACGCAGTAACTTTTTTACAGTAACTTTTCGCGACCGATTGCGAAAGCGTTTCTCAAATGTTAGAAATCTCTTCAGATGCTCTGGAAGCGCTTGATTTCCTCTAATAAGCTCAGCTGAATGTCAGCGCTGCTCTCAGATTAACTGGCTTTAAATTCATCGCCCACACACACAAACTAGACGCACCGCTTCGCCGTTTCCCTTTAATACTCGCTTTTCCTCTGCAGGGAAACATCGGATGTTCTCGACTAATTTACACGTCTCGATTCTCCAGTTACGGCAGCCTCGCGGGGCTTTACGGCCCTCGGATCTGTGTGTTCAAGCGGAGCGAGATGCTCTTGTGTGTGTGTGTGTGTGTGTGTATATGCTGTAATTATACGACTATATAAAACTGCTGTGGGCGTCTCACTCCCACACTCTCTCTATCTCTCTCTCTCTCTCTCTCTCTCTCTCTCTCTCTCTCTCTCTCTCTCTCTCTCTCTCTCTCTCTCTCTCTCTCTCTCTTATGACTCTAGAAAAATAAGAAATGAATGAAATGTAACTTGTGTTCTTTAACCGAGTGAAATCCAGGATTTTAATTGAGTTTCGGCGTTACAAGGTGATGGGGACGTCTGTCTTGACTGGTTTAAAATGATCACTGAGAGTTTGCAGTTTGTTCATGTGTTTGTTTGATTTGGGTATTTGATATGAACTGAATGTGTATATCTGTGCACTCCTTTAGGAACTGATTATACTAGTTAAGGATAGTTGCATTAAAGGAGTGTTGAAATAAACAAAGAATTCTCTCTCTCTCTCTCTCTCTCTCTCTCTCTCTCTATCTTCTCTCTCTCTCTCTCTCTCTCTCTTCTTCTCCTCTCTCTCTTCTCTCTCCTCTTCTTTCTCTCTCCTCTCTCTTCTCTCTCTCTCTCTCTCTCTCTCTCTCTCTCTCTCTCTCTCTCTCTCTCTCTCTCTCCTCTCTCTCTCTCTCTCCAGTTATGGTGTGTTATTATGGGAGCTTCTGACTGGTGAGGTCCCGTACCGAGGGATTGATGGTCTGGCTGTGGCGTATGGAGTCGCTGTAAACAAACTGACGCTTCCGATCCCCTCCACCTGTCCTGAACCCTTCGCCATGCTCATGTCCGGTGGGTCCTTTCTACATGCATCCACTCATCCATCCACCCATCCATCCTACATACATCCATCCATCCAGCCATTCATACCCGTCCATCCATTCTTCCATCAATCCATCCATCCTCACATCCGTCCATCCGTCCGTGCATCCATCCACTCATCCATCCACCCATCCTACATACATCATCCATCCATCCATCCATCCATCCATCCATCCATCCATCCACCCCCATTCATACCCGTCGTCCATTCTTCCATCCATCCATCCATCCATCCTCACATCCGTCCGTCATCCCGTCCATCCATCCATCCAGCATCCATACCCGTCCACTATCCATCCATTCATCCTACATGCATCCATCCATCCATCCATACCCATCCATCTGTCCACCATCCATCTACCCGTCCACCATCCATCCATCCATTCTACATGCATCCATCCATCCACCCATTCATACCGTCCGTCCATTCTTCCATCCATCCATTCGCCTGTCCGTCCATCCATCCATCCACCCATCCATACGTCCACCATCCATCCATCCATCCATCCACCCATCCACCATCCATCCATCCACCCACCATCCATAACCCGTCCCCATCCATCCATCCATCCACCCATCCATACCCGTCCACCATCCATCCATTCATCCATCCATCCACCCATCCACCATCCATCCATCCACCCACCCATCCATACCCGTCCACTATCCATCCATCCATTCAGTCCTACATCCATCCATCCATCCATACCCATCCATCTGTCCACCATCCATCTACCCGTCCACCATCCATCCATCCATCCACTCATCCATCCACCCATCCATCCATCCGTCATCTACATACATACATCCATCCATCCCTCCACTCATCCATCCATCATCTGTCCATACAATCCATCCATCCGCCTACACATCCACCCATCCATACCCGTCCATCCATTCTATCCATCCATTCGCCGTCCGTCATCCATCCATCCACCCATCCATACCCGTCCACCATCCATCCATCCATCCATCCACCCATCCATACCCGTCCACTATCCATCCATCCATTCATCCTACATGCATCCATCCATCCATCCATACCCATCCATCTGTCCACCGTCCATCTACCCGTCCACCATTCCATCCATCCATCCACTCATCCATCCATCCACCCATCCATCCATCCTACATACATCCATCCTTCCACTCATCCATCCATCCATCCATCCGTCCATCCATCAATCCATCCATCCGCCTACACATCCACCCATCCATACCCGTCCGTCCATTCTTCCATCCATTCGTCCATTCACATCCATCCATCCATACCCATCCATCCACCCATACGTACTATTTTTAACTTTTTATCAGTAGAGTATCTGACGGTCTTTCTGATTGTATGGCCTGTAAAACCTTCAAGCTTTTAAAATGATTCAAGTCTTTGTCAAACCCACAATAAAGTCTGTCTTGACTAGCTTTGCCCATTAAGTTTCATTAAATGCTGTGTGTGTGTGTGTGTGTGTGTGTCAGAGTGCTGGGACCAGGACCCGCACCGGCGGCCCAGTTTCAGCTCTATCCTGGAGCAGCTGACGGCGCTGGAGGAGCAGGTGAAGGAGGAGATGCCGCAGGACTCCTTCCACTCTCTCCAGGAGGACTGGAAGCTGGAGATCCAGGACATGTTCGACGAGCTGCGGGCTAAAGAGAAGGTGCATCATGGGATAGATCAGACCTGTTAAACCTGATCACTGCTCTCTGCTTTCATGTGTTAATGGTCAATCACTCACACATCGGGTTTATAAAAAATATATAATTAGCGTGGTGTGAAAAATCTAATATCGTGACAGCCCTGTTCACTATGGTTTTACATTATAATCAATAACGCTAATAACTATGGCATTTCATAGACTTTTCCAAGTGATCCCACTTTTAAAATTCCCAGGTTTTCCAAGACACTGAGAATCTTTGGTTCTTAACCCTCAGGTGCTCTTCGTTTCGGAGTCACACTTGTTATCTTCCTGGTCAAAAGTGGCCGCACACCTAAAAATGAAACTTTCTCCATCCCAGTAAAACCAATGCAATTTATTTTTGTTCTATAATATTTATTCTTTTTAATTTAGTATTTTGAGACAATTTATTTGAATTTATTAATATTTATGCACTATTTATGGTTTATTTTTGCCATGGAAAAATATATATATTTTTCTATATATATATTATTTTTTTCAAAAAAATATTAACACAGTATTTTAGTTTAATATAGAGTCTATGCCTTCAGAAAAAAAAATATTTTTTGAAGATAATTAGCACCATCTGGTTACAGTATAGAGAAAAAGCGTAGAACCACTTGATGGCATGTACAGCTCTCTATGGAGAGGCATGTGAATTCCCCAGCTGTTTATGAACACATTTTTTGTTGTTGGTGGTGGATTTGAATATATAGTTGAAACAATCTCAAAAACTATTTCTTATTAAAAAATTTGACAAAAAAAAAAACAAAAATTCACAATTTTTTTTTCATTTTTTACAATTTCCCATTCATTTCCTATGGGGGTCATTTTTGACCGAAGAGCACAAGTGTGACTATTTTTTTTACGACCACTTAGCCTGCTCGGATCATGACCTCAATTTTTTTGTGTGTTCACATACATAATGCCATAAAAGTCACCAAGTTTCGTAACATTCCGATGAAGCTGTGATTTTTAGAAATTCAAAACAGAAAATTTTTCGGTCAGAAATGACCGAAGAGCACCTGAGGGTTAAATAAAAAAAATACACGAAAATGAATAAAAATTAGACAAATGTTGTCAGTTTTCATTTTGTTTTTGAGCTGTCTTAGCTTATTAGCTTATGTAGTTCTTTAAGATGACCCGAACACCTGTGTGTGTGTGTGTGTGTGTGTAGGAGCTGCGCTGCCGTGAGGAGGAGCTGAAGCGTGCGGCTCTGGAGCAGAAGTCTCATGAGGAGTTCCTCCGTCAGCGGGAGCAGCAGCTGGCCCAGTGGGAGCAGGACGTGTTCGAGCGAGAGCTGTCCCTGCTCATCCTGCACCTCAACCACAACCAGAAGCCCAACGTCAAGAAGCGCAAGGGGACCTTCAAGAAGCACAAGCTGAAGGTGAAGAACGGGGAGAAGATCAGCATGCCGCAGGGTGAGGCACACACACACGGTTCATCACAGTTTACATGTCACCGCACTTAAAGCCAGAGCTGCCAACTTATGATTTTAGCTTGGCGTGAGACTTATCGCCCCGGGGGAATGAATGTCCAAACACACCCCTTATAAGAAAGAAAGAAAGAAAGAAAGAAAGAAAGAAAGACAGAAAGAAAGAAAGAAAGAAAGAAAGAAAGAAAGAAAGAAAGAAAGAAAGAAAGAAAGAAAGAAAGAAAGAAAGAAAGAAATCTGTGATCTGTTCATTCTCTCGCATAGGCTATATTTGCACTAAAGCCGCCTTTAGTGCCTGTTTTTATACCAAAAATACGCCCGTTACGGAACAGCTAGAGTGGCGTAGAGCGTGTAGTTCGTGAAAGAGCATTTGATGCGCTCGGACCCGAGTTCGAATCCGCCTTTTGCCGAACATGAGATTTAAAATGTATAAACTAACATGAAGGTCTCTAGCGTTATATTTTGCCAATGAACTAAAAAACGAAACCATGATATGACTTTTTGCCTTCATAAAACAGCACAAGACTTTAAGAATGGCATTCTGTTTGTGCTGGGTGTTTTAGAGAAACGTGTGCACTTCGCTCACACGAACACGGAGCAGTTTTTCCTGTGAGTGAGACTGGAAAACCCGTAGTGGATGTAATCGGAGTGATAACAGAACGCTTAGGCTTAGAGTGCAGAGAGAAATTGGCTTTGACTCCGGTCCTGGTTTTGCATCCGCGCCGTTAGGAGCTCAACATCTGTCTCGCATGCATGATCGCTCTAGACTGGATTAGAGGATGTTTTAACTAATTTGTGGTAAAACTAGTCGATCACGAGTGGCTCAACAGGTGGATTTATGAGAGTTGGCAGCCCTGTAAAGCGGTTTGGCGTGTGGCGATTATGAAATGGCCAAAGCTGAGATGATTTGTAATGCGCAGCGTGTCAGTGAAGCACGGCTCAGGAAACACGGCTCCGTCGGACAGCGCTGCGAGTGTGAGTAAAGCAACACGTGTCAAACTCCTTTCCAGACATAACAAACAACCTAACAAAAGACGACATTTAATAACACGCTTTTGCTCCAAACTCACTTCATCGGGACACTTGAGCGATGATGCGCTTCTCACACAGAATACGGCAGTCGTGTGTTTATTACCCATGTCTTCTGTTCATTCAGGTACAGCGATGGAGTGATGTGTTCACGTCACACACAATGCTTGTTTCGTTTTAAAGCTCATAGAAATATACTAGATTTTCACATGTAATGAAGAAGTGTTTGCCCATTCAGAAGCCACTGCACTGAGGAGAGGTGTTGAAGGGGTTTTAATGGGATATGGGGGTCCTACTAGTTTTAGTGCGTTGCTACTGTCAAAATTATTCAGACAACAGATATGATTTTTTATATTGTTTCGCTAGTGTGTGCAGGACAATATAGTTCATTTATGTAAGTGTGGAGAGCAAAATAAAGTAAACTGTGACATATTACACGCAGTAATTATTCATACAGTGACTACTAGTTAAAATTTGGGAGCAAATATGGTTCCTCCAGTTTGAGCTGATGATGTTCTGCTGATGTGTGTTTTCTGTAATTTACACACACACTGAACAACGTGAATCATTGGTCACTGCTTGAGCTAAACTGGTATTATCTAATTGTGGAGTTAAATTTAACAGATATTCCAGTCCAAAAACCAGTCAAACTGTATTCAGACACCTTCAACATTTCTTACATGATCACACTTTATTCGCTATAGTTTAGAAAATGGTAATGAAATATGAGCAGAAGTTCTCAGATCAGTTTTAGTGTGGCTGATAGACAGTTCTGGATTATTTTAGTACATTATGCAGTTTCTAGGATGTTCAGGACTTTTATTTTATGATTGCACCGCTGCTGCTGCTGGGATGTGCAGAGTAGCAGCTAATCTGTTGCGATCAGTGTATTTAAGCAAATCAGAGCCTCTAATTATTACACTCTCTTGATTTAAGATATTAATGAGCTGCAATCACACATTAATTAGGTGTTATGACACTAGAATGGAAAAAACAGCAGAGAGCAGAACACACACACACATTTCTGCACATCGTTAGTAATAATTACCATGTGGTTTCTCTGTCCAGACGAGATGCACTGGTGAATGGGGGAAAATAAACTAAAAAAAATAAAAAATAAAGTTTTCTGAAATGTTGTGTAAAAATGCAAATTAAATAAGTAAATATGCACTAATTTACGTTCCAGGAGATTAATATGAACGCTGGATAAAGTCTATTTCCAAATTCTTGATTGATTTTGTTGACATATTAGAGTTAAAGGTTTTTATAGAAGGGTTTTTTGATTACTCTTTTTCTCACTCCATAAATCAGAAAACAGTCAACAGATGGAAAAAACACATTTTCTGCTTGTTTTTAGGAATAAAATGGTATAAAAATGTTTTTGAGTGATATATGAACAAACCCCTCAGTAAAAACCCTGAATAAAACTCTAAATTTTGGTGTATGTACGTGTCACTGAACTGGAGAAAAAGTTAATTTATTGATATATGAAGAGTTCAGATGCAAAAGCCTCTAAGTGCCATTTGAAATTTTCTTCTAAAATGATCATTTTTATCAAGCTTGTATATTTAAGTTCAGTAATTTCACTTAAATTACAATTAATAGGTAATCTTCATTGCAATTTAAGTGAAATTACTGAACTTAAATATACAAACTTGATAAAAATGATCATTCTAGAAGAAAATTTCAAATGGCACTTAGAGGCTTTTGCATCTGAACTCTTCATATATTGTAACTGAAATGTGCGGATGCATATAGATAAATGGAATAAATAAACAGTATTAGTACTGTTTATAGTATACACTTAAACAGTGTATTTTTGTATGTTTTCTTTCCCCTAGTCTGAAAGAAGATCATTGATGAGAAAACTGAAACACTGTTTTTGTTCGTAGTATGTCTGTTGTGTTGATGACTAGTGTTGACTGTAGATCTGGCTTGTAGATTTCATCCATAAGATCACGGTGCAGGCGTCTCCGGGCTTGGAGAAGAGACGTAACTCTCCAGATCTGGGCTCTCCGTCCATCGGCCCGCGCTTCCGAGCGATACAGCGTGAGTGTGTACACATATATCCACCTACGGGACCTGTAAATGATTGTGTGAACATGCGTTTGTGAGCCTCTTCAGATTCACTGGCGCCACATGGCGGCGCTGTTGTTTCATCACATCTGAGTTTGCTCTGTGTGTGTCCCAGTGAGTCCCAGTGAGAGTAAGTGGAGTTCGGTCTGGCCACTGGAGTCTCTTCCTCTCAAGCAAGCCAACGGCGAGAGGAGGTTCACTCCTCATCTGAGCCCCAAGAGCCCCAAGATCCTGCGACTCAGTGCGCCGGAGAACAGGTGAGCGTTTGCTCAAGCGTTTGTGTGCAAAACAGAGGAAGTCAAGTGGTCTAATGTGTGTGTGTGTGTGTGTGTCAGTCTGTCGATGAGAGCCAAACTCCTGGATATGGACAGTAATGAGAATGACGAATCTAAAGCTGATTTCGAGGAGTATAGACCCATCACACCATCCAGCCACAACGGTAACACACACACACACATCTATCTATCTATATACAATGCCATTTAAAAGTTTTGGATCTGTATGATTTTTTTATGTTTTTAAAAGAATTTATTTCATATAATATTCAATTTATTATATATAATATATTTTTTACAAATAAATTGCATTTATTTGTTTAAGACACAAAACAAAAAAATATAGTAAAAACAGTGACAATTTATTACAATAATGCAATGTAAAATTTGTTTTATTATGTGAATATACAGTAAAATGTAATTTATTCCTGTGATCAAAGCTGAATTTATCATCATTACTCCAGTCTTCAGTGTCACATGACCCTTCAGAAATCACTCTAATATGATGAAAACTTTTGATTGCAGTTGCGTACATTTTTTTCATGATTCTTTGATGAATAAAAAGTTCAAAAGAACAACATTTATTTAAAAAATAATCTTTTGTAAAATTATAAATGTCTTTACTGTAATTTTTGATCAATTAAATTCATCTGTGATTAATATTTTTTAATATTCATTTTATTTCTTTCCCACCAAAAAGAAATCTGACTGACCCCAAACTTTTCAACGCTAGTGTTTAATGTTACAAAAGATTCTATTCCAGATAAATGTTGTTCTTTTGAACTTTGTTCATCAAAGAATCTTGAAAAAAAAAAACACAATTGTTTTCATCATAAATGTTTGTTGATCATCAGATCCTCATATTAGAGTGATTTCTGAAGGGTCATGTGACACTGAAGACTGGAGTAATGATGATAAATTAAGCTTTGATCACAGGAATAAATTACACTTTAAATATTTTGACTGAAAGTGTATATATGTCTCATATTTGTGTGTGTGTGTGTGTGTGTGTCAGAGGGTTCAGAGAGTGAGGAAGGGGGTTCGTCCCCCTGTGGTTCCCCGAAGCCGGATCCCCGGGGTCTGGCGAAGAACACACACCGTTCTCTGCTCAGCAGCGCCGCCCTGCTGGCGTCCGTCGCTCTGGGGCGCTGCCTCGAGGCCCAGCACCCCCCCACCCCCCCGCCGCGGGCCTCGTCCCGCACTCACCTGCCCGTGCCGGAGCCCGTGCCGGAGCCCGTGCCGGAGCCCGTGGGAGATCTGATCTCCTTCAGCACAGACTCTCTGCCCCGGGGCTTCCTGGACTCCCTGAAGCCTCCCGAGATCAAGCCGCTAATGCTGACGCCGCCGCCCCCGAACCCCCGGGACCGGGACCGGGAGCGCAGGACGCAGGACGGTGCCGGAGACTGGACGGCTCACGCCAACGGAGACGGCGAGGTCTCGCTTCAGAGCGGAGAGCGCAGGAGGAGGGCGAGTCACGGACTGCACTCCGCACAGCTGGGTAACACTCGCCCCTTCACTAACTTACATTTATTGTGCAGTTTCTTTTTTTCAATCACTCTTTTCAATTAGAATTGCATATTAAATTTCGGACAATCGGCTGTCTAGAAATCCCATTGCATTAATTACTGCACAAATCTCATTTTGTTTTAGTTGCATTTACTGTTTTAGCTCGCAATGCCAAAGTCATGGGTCTAAATGATAAAAACGTATTCGTTTCTTTGGATAAAAGCATCTTTAAACAGGTTGTTCCCAATCAAATGAAATCGGCATCAACAAAGTCCACTTTTTCACTGCAAATCATGATTTAGATGTGTTTACACTGCAATTACAATTGCATAAATAATGCTAGGATATTTATGTTTTAAAGAGGACTTGCGTCCTGTTTGATCATGAAGAAGCTCCAGTTCTCCTCTACATCAGCGTCAGGTTTCCTGAACTCCTGAAACTGTAGTCTCGAGTTTCTCCGGGAACGAACACGTCACAAAATACCTCATTATAATAATTAATGAGCACAATAAAGGGGCGGGGCCTGCTTGAGTTAGTTAGTAGTGTGTTAAACTGGCGGTTATGGAAAGGGGCGGGACTTTCCCCAAACACACACAAAGCGCTCGACCAATCAAAACACACCCCTTCAGCCGACCAATCAGAGCACAGTGTGCTTTTCAGGAGGAGGGGCTTCATAGAGACAGGAAGTAAACAGAGCGTTACTGACAGACTGGGAAGAGAGGAGCCGCAACAACGGAGAATATGAGGAGAATAATCAACATTCAAGCAGGAGAACCTGTTCTAGGAGAGCCTAAAAACTTGCTCTATTAGAATAAAATGATATTTTTTTAAGTTATATTTTGAATATTGAAATATGAACTACTGTTCAAAACCAGTAAATGTTTAACACAAAACAGCCCAAACTGATGTTACTAGTGAAACTAAGCACTGCAGTTGATACTGTCTGTGAATGGGGCGTCATTGGTTCAGATTATGTTAGTGCATTTATCCGAAGCACTGGTGAACTGACGCTGATTCCCTTCTCTCTTTACTAGTGTTGGATCTTCCGTTGTGTCAAGACACGTTTGAGGCGGAGGACAAGTCCCCGATGCCGTTCGCCCTGTACCCGGACCCCCGTTTGTGGAGCCCCAAAACCCGTCGTCTGGAGGTCAACATCGTGCCTCGCCCACGCCCGTCCCCGAACCGGCCCCGCATCGACCCCTGGAGCTTCGTATCGGCCGGCGCCTTGGACCGAGCCGGCGTTAGGAAGCCCGCCAGCAGTCCCACGAGCCCTCGCCTGGGCTTCCAGCCCTCGCCCAACAACCCCTTCACGAACTGTGACCCCTTCCCCTCGCCGGACTGTGACCCCTTCAATCTGAAGGTGGACCCTTCCATGAACTCGGACCACGGATCAACCTTTGACCCCTTCTCCACCCCCTTCCCGACCTCGCGCTCGGCGCCCTGCTCGACCAACGGCAGCCCGAATCTGTCTCTGCGGGTCGCCCCGCTGAACCTGGCCGACTCCCCGCTCATAGACCTGGGCTGGGCTCGGCCGGTGGAAGAGCGGGTCCACCCCCGCAGGAGCCTCGGCCTCAGCCCGTTCCGGTCCCCGGCGCTGCCCAGAGACGAACGCTTCTGAACCCTGGCCCATAACAGGGCTGCACCGTACGCCCAGATTAAACTGACATCGCGATACTGGTCGAAAACAGTACGAATAATCACAATCCAAACTCACAAGAAAATCACCTGCTAATCTGTTCCAGATCCGCCCCACATCTGGTACATGTGGATTCAACACGGCCCAGATCCGCCCCACATCTGGTTCATGTGGATTCAACACGGCCCAGATCCGGCCCACATCTGGTACATGTGGATTCAACACGGTCCAGATCCGGCCCACATCTGGTACATGTGGATTCAACACGGCCCAGATCCGGCCCACATCTGGTTCATGTGGATTCAACACGGCCCAGATCCGGCCCAAATCTGGTTCATGTGGATTCAACACGGTCCAGATCCGGCCCACATCTGGTACATGTGGATTCAACACGGCCCAGATCCGGCCCACATCTGGTACATGTGGATTCAACACGGCCCAGATCCGGCCCAAATCTGGTTCATGTGGATTCAACACGGTCCAGATCCGGCCCACATCTGCAGGGCTTGATTAACCATTAGGGCAACTGGGCACTTGGGGCACCTCTAAGGGGCCCTGGACACCAGTGGCAGTCGGGAGGGTCGGGAGTTTCCCCGGTGGGCCGGTAGTGTTTCGAGGCCGCGAGGGACGGTTTGATAAAACGGAGCGTATGTTTGCACTAAGTGCCTGAGTTTAATGAAAAAAGACGCCGGTCACGTCACAGTGGCGCAGGTCGTAGAGCGCAGAGCGCGTGAGTCAGGTTCTGTTGCGCTCGACCCGAGTTCGAATCCGCCTTTTGCCGAAGTCTCTTCTCCCTTTTCCCAACACATATGAGATGTAAAATGTTTAACCTAACATAGGTCTCTAGCGTGTTATTTTGCCAACGAACTAAAATCGAAACCATGATATGGATTGTTGCCTTTATAAAATAGCACAACACTTTAAGAATAGGCATCCCGTTAGTGCTGGGTGAATTAAAGAAAAGTGTGCACTTTGCTCACTCGATCAGGATGGTCATGTGGTGTTTTCTCCTAAATACAAGCTCAAGGGTTTATTTCTTGCAAGTGAAGAAATAAGGACAAATGTATTTTAATTTTCCTATATTATAGCGTAATGTCGACTAAAATATAGGCTACTTTTGAAATATTCATTTTCATTTATATAGTACATTTATAGGCTTTATGGATTTTACGTCAGGAATAATTCTATAAATCATTATTACATTATTATAATAATTGTTTGGGATCCTAAAACTCCATTGATAATGTAAGGTCGACTGAGACTCGATGAGATGTTTGAGCCCTGTTTATTGTCCTGGTACAAATCAATGCGTTTTCTTTGTTCAACGAGCAGTTCATGGGTTGAAGCTCTTAATTGTGATCTCTCAGAGAGCACGAGGTTGATGCATTTAACCTTAAAATGTATAACATTTTCTTGCGGGGTAGCATGCCCTCGAACCCCCCTGTAAATCAGTAAAACTATAAATGCTATATTAAGGGTCCACCCAACATAGTTTTACAAATTCCTATAGGAAAGAACAACTATTTATGAACTTTACTCCAGCATAGTTTAACAAAGTTAATTTTAAGTCAGTAAAACTGTAAATGCCATATTAAAATGTGACATTTTAAGAGGGGGCCTACAAGACATTGTGCCCAGGGCCCCCTGAACTCTTAATCCAGCCCTGCACATCCGGCACATGTGGATTCAACACGGTCCAGATCCGGCCCACATCCGGCACATGTGAATTCAAGCAATGCACCGATATGATCATTTTGGCCGATACTAATAACTGATAATGCTTTAATTGAAAGCCGATAACCGATATATTGGCTGATATATATCTCAATAAATATCGCGATGTCAGTTTGTCCAATGTCGTGCGGCTCTAATCCACGCTAACTCTGGGAAGTCAAACCCCAGGAGATTCCCCTTTACTCTGGGAATGGACGAGTGTTGAGTGTTGGTCATCCCAGAACCTCTTGTTTCCTCTGGGACGGGTCGACCCGCTCTCTTCATCGCTCGCTCTTAGGGGTAACAAGCACCAAATACTTGAGCAATTCTGACCTCGACAAACTGAAGAAAAAAAATGGCAAAGAAGGCGGAGCCTCAGAGCGACACCCACCTATTACATCATCATCAGCACCACCGACCAATGACAATTCAACGGTGTTTCCCGAAACAAACTCCAAACTAACTCTGTTTTGGCCTGATTACGTTTTTAAACTGTCACGCTAATTAATTTTTGGATTTGGCTTGAAGTGTATCGGGTGTTTGCGGTCGAATGCTCGTATGACTCAGCCCAGGTTTATCCTATCCCTGTTTAATCCCAACGCCTGTGCCAAAGAACGTTTCCCAGATCTCGCTCGAGTGGAGAAGAGAAACGCTCTGCGACCTCTGACCTCAGGAGAAGACTACACTCTACGCTTTATTATTCAAGTAATAAAAGAAGGTAGTTCACCTTTTTATCTAATAATTGGATATATTTCTCACAGTTGCGAGCTTACGTCGTGCAAATTTTTTTTTCGTTAAATAAACGGTAATTGCAAATGTTTATCTCAGTATTTTGACTTTTTCGGTTTCGCAATTAGGACACTTTTTTTCTTCTTTTTTTTCACCATGAAATAATAAATAAAATGTTTATTGCAATCAGACTTTAATTCGGAACTTCGGTTGCAAATTTTATCTCTCATAACTTTGACTCTTGCAATTTTTTTTTCGCCATGAAGTAATAAAATACAACTTTGATCTGATAATTCTATAGATTTCTCACAGTTGCGAGCTTGTTTCACAATTAGTTATTAACTCATAATTCTGAGTTACAGAATGCAAGAAAACAAGTCCAAATTGCGAGATGTATTTTTTTCTGCTATGAAAGAAAGAAAGGATATTTGCATTTTTGATATCACAACTTTGACCCTCTTTTTCGCAAATTAAAAACTTGTAATTTTGAGTTTGCATTAGAATTCACTCCGAATTCTTAGTTTCTCCTTTTTTTGCAACCATTAGTGGAGCGGCTAAGTGCTTATGTTTGGCAGAATCGTTCAGTTTATGATACAAGTGTGAAAATTGGCATGGGTCACTTGACAAGAAACCACTTGAAATTTCAAGATGGTGGCCATTTTTCAAGATGGCTGACACCTTAGTGGAGGAGTTAAATGATTTAGGGGTTTATTGGGTGATACAAGCATGAAAATTGGCATGAGCAGTCTCTGATGGTCACTAGACAATAAGCCACCCACAGCTACTTGAAATTTCAAGATGGCGGCCATTTTTCAAGATGGCCGACACCTTAGTGGAGCAGTTAAGTGATATAGGGGTTTATTTGGTGATACAAGCATGAAAATTGGCATGAGCAGTCTCTACGGGTTGCTTGACAAGAAAGGGTTGCTCATGCCAATTTTCATGCTTGTATCACCAAATAAACCACTACATCACTTAACTGCTCTACTAGGGTATCGGCCATCTTGAAATTTCAAGTGGCTCGGACAATTTTCTTGTCAAGTGACCAATGGAGACGGCTCATGCCAATTGTCACGCTTGTACCATAAACTGAACGATTATATCACTTAGCCGCTGCCCTACATGAAATGATCTAATAAAAAAGAATTATTGCGACTTTAATCTGATAATTTGATACATTTCTCATAGAGTTAAATCTCGCAATTTTTTCTTGAATTGAGTTGTTTTTCTGCCATGGAATAAGAATACATTTTGTTAAACTAAAGTGATTCTCTTTTTTATTTTTCTACCAATCCTCCATAGATGTGGGAACACTAAACCCCACAGCTAGTTCAGGTGGAGCAGAGCGTTTCTCCTCGTGTGTGTGTGTGTGTGTGAAGATAATGACGTTGTGAAGCTATTAGTATTTATCACTGAGGCCTTAACACTGGAGCGAGACACATCCCCGTTGGGATGCTCACTACGGGCTGTAGATGTTCGTCACTGGAGGGACAGAAATATAACTCAAGACCGCTGTGTCTCAACAGAAAGACTGAAAACAGGAGACGCATCTGAACTCTTTCCCCTCTGTGTGTTTCTGTCCGATCTCCCGTTCGAGGAGTCGTGCTTTATCTCAAGCTAATGCGAAATAGTGTGTGTGTGTGTGTGTGTGTCTTTCAATGGGCTGGTCCTAATCACTCCATTTGTTTGTGTGTGTCGTAAGAACGCCTGATGTTGTGCTGATTGTGTGTTCGTCTAATTGTAATGGTTTTTAACCTGTGGAACTTTTTACATTTTAAATAAAAACAAAGAAAGACTGAAAAAAGGAGCAAGACCAAATAAAGTTTAACAAGACTCTAAAGCGGCTTCCGTTTGTCTGATCTCTAATCCACTGCAGATATTCCTGTCTCTGTAAATATGAATATGAAACATCCATACTTATAGAAGAACGGCATTTTTAAAGGATTGTTGACGTTATTTTCACGACAATCAAACGAATCTCATACGTGGCTGTACGTCACACACACCTGTAATGTGAAAGGTATAGGTTATATTTAAATTGTTAAAAAGTAAACGTCTTTTAAAAATGTTAAGTGTAATATCTTAATTAAAAACAATTAGACGTTTGTGTATTGTGCTATTGTTTTTGGCACATTATTTTTAAATCACTGAGAGACTGTAATTGTTTTTAATTAAAATTTTAAATCAGTTTTTATTTTTATATGTTGTTATGATTTAAATTTTAATTAAAGTTTTAAGTAATTTTGTTGTGTTTTGTCATTTTGTCAAGTTAAGATAAAATAACTCAACTAACAGAAGGAACATTTTTCAGTTATTGTTCATTTTCTCATTGTGCGTAATAACCACATGTGTAACCATTTCTACAGGTGTGTGTGTGTGTGTGTCTCTGACTGCATTATTATCCACTAGAAGGCGCTGTGAGCAAGAACAAGTCTTCACATCAGGTGTGTGTGTCTTCAGTGTCACATGACCCTTCAGAACTATTTCTGATATAATTTGCTGTTCAAGAAACATTTATATATATATATTTATATGTGAATATTAAATTGATCAAAAGTGACAGTAAAGACATTTATAATGTTAGTATTTTAAATCATTGCTGTTCTTTTGAGCTTTCTATACATCAAGGAATCCTGAAAATTAGTTACTTTAAAAGGAGAAGCTGTAAGATAAGTTGAAATTATGGCAAGCCGAAATTGACAGACAAGGTAAAAATTATGACATAAACAGTTGTACTTTTGGCAAAGACGAAATTGGCATAAACGTTGAAAATATGACATCAAAGTCAGATTTATGACGACAATATTAAAATTATTGTATAATGTCAAATTTAGGACATAAACTCAAAATCATGGAATTAGTTGAATTTGACCAAGTTGAAATTGAATAGGCTATCATGATTTTGACTTTATATAATTTTTAACTTTCAAGTTATTGGAAGTTGATATTGACAAAAAGTCTAAAATATAATAAGAGTAGAAAGTAGACGTTTTTAGCCATTGTTCCGATTTACCAAAGCGTGATTCTCGTGGATTCGGCACGGAGAGAGTCCGCTAACACTGTTTCCATGGAGACCGCAGGTACATCACTTGTCACACACACACACACACACACTTCAGCTCGAGAGAACTAGTGCTGCGTTTACAGCAAACTACACACTTTACACGGTTCACTTCAAACAGGGATGTGTTTATGAACTGATTTCAAACAAGATTCACATGAATATGCTTGCATATTACACACACACACACATTCTCTCACACACACACTGATCAGCTTTTATCTATTTTAATTGCAAAAGAAAATTTCTTCTGTTCACATTGACACGTTAATATTGTCAAACGGGTCAGATTTTTGTAATAGTGATAATACAGTGAATGTGTTTCAAATGGGCTACACAATATATCATCAGTTTGCATCCAATTTGTTTCAATTTCATACGTTTTAACTAATAGAATATTGTTTGTCTCACTATAGGTTTATTAACATTTACTGAAACTAAATAAAATACTGAAATAAGTTTAATAAGCTAAAACCGAAATGTGAATAAATTAAATCTAATTATCAATACTTAATAACAATTAACAATATAAAAACTAATAAAAGATCATTTAAAATATTAATATTGTTTCAAGAAAAAAAAATCTGTGCATGTGTGTTATGAATTATTGCACACATCAGGACACGCAGAACATGAGAGCGTGCCGGGGAGATGTGATGTAGATATTAATGAATCTGTTCCTCTAATGAATCTCCGCTGGATTCTTCACACGCTCTCCATCCCGAGACGCAGAGATTTCTGGGAGTGTGTGAATGTTAAT